GAATATCCCGAATACCAAGAGTCATCGTGTAGCTCTGGGGCAGGCCGACGGCTTGACGTGGCTTGATATCGCTGGCGAACAGATCCTCAAGGATAGTCGCTATCCTCTCACCACCCTTATGTGCTGGCGCTTCCTTGACAGAGAACGAGGTGACGGACATGTCATCAGTGGCCTTCGCCGGTCTGTCGGAGCACTTGCGGGAATTCGAGCTCAACCAAGACATCATCTCGTATTCCCTCAGGAGGGTTATGATAGTGACAAACAAGTCTGCAGCATCGAACGTCGAGTCTTCCTCCTGCTGAACTTCACCATCGATGAAAAGGATCATGTACAAGAGGTCTGTCAGAGTCTTTCGCGTAAAGGAGATCGTCTCCTGGACACCGTTGACGATGACCTTGACACCGAAATGAGTGTTGACGAGATCAGAGTCCTTGCCAGGGAAGCCCAGCGGAATCGTGTCCACAAGGGTGTAGAAGACTTCGTTTGGCAAGCTGAAGATGTTCAGACGCTCATTAACGGCACCAACCAGACCATCGTATGTCTTGTTGGAGATTTGCTCTCCGAAATCACATCGCTCGCGGAACGCCTCCATTCTATCCTGCACAGAGATGGAGGGTTCAGTGAACAGCTCTGCTTCAAGGGCGCCCTGGCATGCTACTTCGAGTTCGGGAGCGAAGCTCCTCCGGAAGCTGGAGGCAACGTTCAGAAGGTGAGAGGCATCCTCAAAGAGGCTGCCGATCTCTGAATCCAGGTTCCGGTGCCTCCAGCGATCAACGATTTTGGGTGCTTCCGCGCGAAGCTCTGGGCCGGAGTTATGTAGAATAAGCTCGGTTGCGCTGCATTCACGAATCACGGCACAGCTGTCGGAAAGGACCATCCACGGTGTCTCATAGTAGGTATCATATGCAAGAGAGACTGGCTCAAACCTTCTCTTGTTGACATCATCCGCAATCTGCCAGAATTGGCGCCACTTCGAGTCTGTATCGGTTCGGTACCGTGTGAAGTCCATCCCATCATCGGCGTACTTGCGAAGAGAGACAGTGGCAGCAACGGTAGAGCAGAGCCTTTCTGCAAGAGGGGCGCTTCTCTTCAGCGTGCTGGGCGACGACAGAGGTCTGAGTGCCTCCTGGTAGATAGAGAGGGCAGTCTCAAGGACCTCCGTCGAGTATTTGTTGGGCTGCAGGAGGAATTCGAGCCACTTCTCCGTCGGATCCACCACGTCAGACAAGGCCATAACGGGGGGATATGCCTGACCGCGGGTGTCCATAACTGTAGACGCCCAGTTGGACTTCCAATCCGTCACCAGGGTTTCGAAGTTGAAATGCAGCGTAAACAGCTGGCACAGGCTGCTGTTTCTCCACAGAACCCACAGCTCCATGCGCTTTCCTTCCTCAGCAGGCTTGATCTGGAAGTCGGCAATACTCCAGAACATGCTCCCGGTCGAGTCGGGATCCAGAGGCTTCAGTGCAGCACCCGGGTACAGATCCTCGATAACAAGCGGCGACGTCAGGCCTCCCTTGACAGCCCAGAACTTGAAGAGCCCGTCTTCGAACGGCGAATATGTGACAACATAATAACGGTACGCACCGTCAAGCGCACGCTCCATGTTAAAGACCCTGATGAAGGAAGTTTCGGATGGATTCAGTGAGTACAAAGATTCCTCCGACGGTTGCACATCACGGTCCAGTAGGTCCTTCGTAGCGGCCAACTTGTTGGTAGCAAGGTTCCAGATCTTGAGCGTGTGATTCAAGCAGACAGCGAATACATAGGTCTGATCAGTTGTAGTGGCGATAGCGTTTGGCGCGCTCAATTCGAGGGTGCGTCCTTGGTATTTGATTGACGGCTGCGCATGCCATTTGACCAGCCCGCGAATCGACGAGCCCCAAGTTCTCTCGTCGAAAGTCAGGGGAGACCAGTGTGAGCCTGGGACACATCAAGATAGATCAGTATCGCAGATATATGACAAGGGGTGATTTTGAACAAGGATAGTGGGTTTACCATCGTCACCAGACTTCCTGGTCAAGCGCAAAAGTGCGCCATTGTCGAGGGACACGAACAGCTCCAGCGGGCTGCTCGCATGTAGACGGTGTGGATAAGAAAATGTGAGAGGTGCGGGATTGAAAGTCTTGCACCAGTCGGAGATGTTGTTGTCAATTGATGCAGTCCTGCGGAAGAACTCGGGGCGTAGTGTCAAGGTGTGGAGGGTCTTGGAGGTGGTGATCACGAACACGCTCAACGCTTCGTGCTCCTCCAAATCGGCAAAATCAACACCTGAAGGGACAATTCCTTCCTCAAATTCCAAGCGCAGTGTTACATTGTATTCGTGGTGCTCGATACCAGCCTTGGTCAGATCCACGCACTGGATCTCCAAGATCTTGCTGTTATCGACAACCCTCCACAGATAGGTTCGGGGGTAGACATTGCGTTTGCGGAAATAGATCGAACCCTGACTCGCTAGGTATCGTTTGGAAAACTCGTCTTCGTCCTTCGCGACCGGCTCGTCACGGTTGGGGCTCGAGATGACCGAGAATCGCGCGCGGCTTTGCGTACTTTCTTGGGTCGAGATCGGGATGTTGACGACGGTGTTCGGCGAGTACGGCCGGAGGTCGACTCGGGTATCTTTGTAGATTTTAGCCATGACTTGACTAAGGAACAGACCACACTTCACGATCTGGAGTTAATGGTCAGTTCAAGTCTCCATGGCCGATGGAGGTAATTGGAGGGAGGAGTCGCTGCACGGCGGAGTTGAAGGGCAGAAGCTGAAGCTCTTTCGGCGCTCCAGAAAAAACAGGTCTTGGCGCCGCCCCCAGCAATAAAGCTGCCACCGCCTTGCTGCATCTCCGCAACTACACCCAATCGAGTCCATGGATAATGCGAATTGACTCTTCCTACAAGAAATGATATACTAGTCAAATATCGGGAATTCCCGAGGCTATTATTATGTACGCAGCCTAACATGCGAGCAAAACAACTATAATCATGAACTCGTAGCCTGAGAATCTATCCGCGCCCTTTTCAGTCATTCTCCAAGTCCTTGGGGCTCGGGTCCCCAATACCATCCTCATTGATAGCGAACAGGCAATCGCTCTCAGGGAGACATGGGCTATCATAGATCTTGCAGACCCGAGTCTCACCCCGTCCTTTCTTCAAACTTAACCGCGTCGTACTTGCATGCGCAATAATGTTACCACCGATTGGCTTCTTCGGGTCGGGATTGAACATTGCACTGGGGCCACCATCCACCTGAGCAACGACCTGGTTCGTAATGACGACCGCAATACCAAACTCATCAGCAAGGCGCTGCAGAGTACGCATAAACTTCGCAAGATGTGTTTGTCTCGACGACAGTTCACCACGACCGTTGAAGTCTGTCCGGTACAAAGAAGTGGCAGAATCAACGACAAGAAGCGAGAAACGAGTCTCGCACATCATCTGCGAAGCTTGGTTGAGTAGCTGAAGTTGATGGTCTGAGTTGTACGCACGAGCGTATGCCACATTATCCAGCACCTCTTCTCCCACCAGCCCGTATCGCTGTGCAACCGCCAACAGACGCACTGGTCGGAAGGTACCTTCTGTGTCAATGTATAGGCATTTTCCTTCTCCTCCGCCCATGTCAAAGGGCAATTGGCAAGTCACGGCGAGTGTATGACATATTTGACTTTTTCCTGTCCTGAATTCTCCGAATATCTCCGTTATAGAGCCTGTCTCGATGCCACCTCCAAGAAGGGTGTCTAACTGCTTAGAGCCTGTCGTAATTGAGATGAGTTCGTTTCGTCGCGCATGCATTTCGGTCGCGGTAGTAAAGCCCATCGGCACAAGCTTCATAGCTACAAAATCACGGAGTCAGAGAAGATATTCGCGCACGACTTCCAATGCCACAAGAGCAATACTCACCCTCAACCAAGACCTTGGTGGCTTTCTGCTCCGAAATACCCTTGATTTGTTCCAACAATCGTTTTGGCCTATACCATACGCAATAACATGGTTGTGAGCAGAGCTGGAATTGGGTGATGACACATGATTGGCAAAGGAAAGACGTACGTATATGCTACCGACTCAACAGTGTTGTATCCAGCATCAACAAACAGCTTGATATCCCTACTTGTCAGGCCCGAAACACCCTGTTACAAAAGGCATCAGCACTTGAACTTCACCTACCCATCATCAAGCATATTGTTTGCCGTTTGAATTGCTCACCTCCAGGGAAGAGAGTGGCGTGGGCGCTCCGGGGCCTGGAAGCCCATCGTCATACTCATTCTGAGTATCAGCGTCGGCAGTCATCTTTAACAAAAAATTCAAACTTCTGTAGCGTCAGAACCCAGTGGCCTTTGTAGCAATACTGCAAAGATCCTGGGAGGAATGGCAATAGATGTAGCCTGTTAACCGCGCGCACACGCGTCTAGATCAGTTGCGGTTTCCTGATGTAGTTCAAATTTCAACACTGGATGGATTGCAACACACAATCTAGCTTCCGTGTGCAATAAGGCAAAATTGTCCAGAAACCCGTGGTTTTTTTATTCTATGGTGGCAAATTGCCGTTGTCGCAGCGCGTTATTCAAGTCATGTTGAGATTGTGGACGCGTCCAGGCAGTCGCGACATCACGTGCCCATTGGCATCAGCTTGTTGCCTTGGGTGGGCCATTTACCTACAACTATGAGTCCACTTTATATCTACGTTAATACAGTTACTGCCAGGCCAGACCTGTCTTATTCGATGCGACGCATATGAAGCACATACTTGCTATGTATCACGAACGAAAGGAAAAGAGATACATTTTGTCTCCGTTGCATGTCCTGCGCGCTTCCAGGCGTGCATTTGTTTCGCAACATGATTCGTCATGGTAACCGAGGCTTATCAATGACTAAATGATATCCAACGTTTCGTTCATAGGCCCCTCGATAGTATTGTTGCCATTGCATGTTACATGGTCAACAGCAGAGGCTGCCCGGGAGACTGGCAAAACAACCTGGTCTCGCACCTATAACACGGCATTTGAAAAGCCTTGCGACCTCGTCGGTGATGGCGTTCTACGACCTTCGAGCGTCTCCTGGTTAATGGCTCTTAGTTGGTATATCTCAGCTGGGTTCGTCCGGATATTCTCGTCTATGAGTTTGCTGATTCTCCTTCTGAAGCTCTCCGATGAAGTGCGGCGAAGCCCTGTGTATGCTTAGCTTTTCGAGTCCAGGCCAATATACTTCAGGATCTTACCCTCTGGTGTTGATCTTCTTTTGTAGCTATCGAAGGGCTTCTTGACCCACGAGCTTCGCGCACCAAACCACCTTGAACGACGCTTGTCTAGATCTGGAGAGCATTCCGGTTCAATAATAATGGGGCCATCCAGCTGTAGAGACTGGTTGGTTGGCGAAAGAGAGATGTAGTCTGATTGTCCGTATTCGATGTCTAGAACCTTGGCGGAGTTGCACTGGTCATAGAGGCTCGGGCTAGGTGCCGGTTGGTATGTCCGCTCAAGACCTTGGATGTCATCTCCTGTCAGCGCCATCAACGTCGGCTTGGGTGCCGACGCAATACTTTCAGGTCTACTACCCGAGTGAGTGGTAGACTGTCTCGCAGAACGGCAATCGGGTGTCCATATGCCTTCTACTTGAATTCCCTTCTCCAAAGCTCTAGCACCAAATGGTATGTCGCTCGGTTCGGCCAGCATGGGTTGCATCTCTGCTTTCTGTCGTGCTTCAGCGGTGGCATACTTCTGTGTCTTTCGCCTGTTGTAGGCTAGGACAATGAATGAGTACACCAGTACCAATGCCTTGACAGATCAGTGGAATGTTTGCCAATCTAGTACTGGAATCCTTACCAGAAGACCTGCGAGCGCCTAATCGCAGGTTAGCGACATTCCTCGTTCCCAGGACCTTGGAGATCTTACAAAGCTCAGTTTCTGCCAGAGCGCCCAACCAACCCAGAAATTCATGATGCGTTCGGTGAGTGGGGAGTTTTCTGATGGGGGATGCAGCCGGTGTAGATGCAGGAAAGCAGTAGTCTGAACTAGACACAGGAAGGCCTCTCCCAGGTGACTGCGCTGGCGTAGACTGTAACCGTCACAGACACTTCTGTGGAAGAAGTATGATGTCAAGGTCGGGTTTGTTGCTTCAGTTGTGAGTCCGGGGGTTACTGAACGATGTATGATGCTCGAAAATTGGATTGTGAGAGACACAAGCTACTAGTACCAGGTAGGATAGCAGATAACTGGTCCTTCGTTGTGTTTGGTAGTCGAGGAAGGTGCAGTTATGCTGCAATGGGGGAAAGAAGGTTCGTGGGCGAGGTGAATGCGACATGGTAACAATGATGCCAGCTAGATTCAATAGTGTAATATGTTCTTTCATCAGCGGACATGGATTTCAGAGATTCACCAGGAATAACGTACCGCATATTTTATGTACACCTGGAGTGAAACAGTTTCCATGATGCCATAGTACGCCCAATGAGGTGGCCAGCGAGGTAGATTGGAATGATGGGACGACCATACTGCCAGAATATATACTGCAGCGGAACCGAAGCCCAACACAACTAGTAACATCATGAACTGAAACCTCTGCATTTAAATGCGAAAAACGGAAAATAAAAATAGATAAAAGGATAGCAAGCAGAGCAACAAGATTACTAGCAAAGAAATAACAAGGGAGGAGTGCTCATTTATAAGCCCAAAAATAAAACAGCAAAAAGAAGAGAATAGTAGTTGCCCAGCCAAAGTGCCAATTTCCCTGTAACGGGACGGTGTAATCTGGCGACGCCATCCCGGGGTGGAAATGTCTCTGCAGAATTGCTTCCCTCAAGGGTCACTTCCATTGCTTAGCGCCTCATAGCATCGTGGATTACTCGCACGAGTACAATGACGACCCCGGGATTCGTACCAGGCACCAGTCCCGCTGGCAATTACCTAAGCAAGGTTATTGACTTGGCGGCTGACCTCCCACCGGACTATCCGTGACAGATATTAAAAATTGCTAATATACCTTGCTTATATACTGCTAACTGCAACTTGTATTCACTCTATTCTCGCTCATCACATGGGGGAAATGCAGATTTTTATATTAGATATAATTCGATTCAGTGAATACGACATTACATTACCCGCTCCTTTAGTCGATGTGAGGTTGTGACAACACGGATACACACTAGTAAGGTTCAAAGTGTCCCCCTACGTCTAACCGTAACTGGCCTGTTACATTGAACAAAAACTACAACTCCATGGCACCTAAAGATGCTTTCTTTCATTCCCCCCGCTCTGATATTGATACATGGTTCGTGCAATAGGTGGAACGGTAGGGGTTAGAGTTGTGCTCGAAAGAAGCAACACACATTCAGCGCCACAATAGGTAGACGATGCTGCGATTCCCTCAAGCCATCAACCTGCACACAAAACTTCATTAGAAGCAGCTAAGCCAACAACCTCACACATCTCTAAAGCCCCTGCATCTTCTTCTTCCCAGGAGACCGCCCCAGCGCTTGCATCGACCCGAGCAGCATTCAGCGCTGAGAGAACATCTGCTCCGATTTGGGGCGCATCTGCTGCCACGGCTATCTGTGCACGACCCTTTGGAACAGGTGTGAAAGCGAGAACAGTCCACGTTGGACTTACAACCTGCGACACAGAAACCCTGATTGCAGATTTGGCCAAGGTTGCATTGAGAATTGTCGTTGCAGAGAGGGGCGGCTATTCTTTCCGGAGTAGAGTTGCTGATAGCTTCGACATCGGCAGTGTAGTCGCCACGAACGTCACGGCGCAGAGTAGTAATCAGGCGGCCGGTTCTATCTTCACAGTAGGGTGCGGTAACTTCGCGTCTGATATTTTGGGGGAGAGCAGTGGAAGCGACTACGCCGGCCAAAATGAAAATCGATAGTATCGAAAAAATCAGCGCTGAAAGCTTAGGCATGGTGATAGTTGATAGTAGAGTAGGCTGGGGACACATGATGTTAGATCATATACCCAGACCCCGAATTGAATCTGTCGCCATCTCAGACGGGAGTCGATTATCTGCCCGTAGCAAAGCGTGGAGAGCCTGACCTATACTTTTTCAAGTTATGGTGATATCTAGATCACCAGCGGAATGAGTCAGAGGAATCAATGTGGGATGTCTCAAGAAGACGATAGGATGAGTGATAATACAATCTTAGTAGACGCTCAGTAGATCTGGCAGGCACCTCACCGTCTCAGTTATGTTTGGCAAGAGCTTCACGGGTAGGTGCCCTCCAAGGTGTGTGTTGGCCGCATGCTACTAGGTCGGCAGCCTTCAGAGGCACAACAGTGGAGGCTCTTGCCAATGTTTGATCAGACACAAGAGGCGTGAACATAGCTGCCATTGGGATATGTATAGGCTGTGTATGTGTCAATTGTCGATAGCAATGAAGATCCAGGTAAAATAGGCCATTCCTCTTCGGGCCAGAGCACAATCGACTCGGACGTCTATAGCCTGCTAGCCGGGAAGAGATCAATACATACAGAGCGCATTGCACATAGTATGCTGTTAGCACCTTAAGAAGTCTGCATCAATATAGCTAGTCAGAGGTATCTAGATAGACTTCAATGGAGCACAGTCGGCAGAGGTTGCATGTGCCCCCCTGGCTTGGGAACACAGCCAATGGGATATCGTCTCGGAGAGATTGGCATGTATGAGGATGGAGTTCTGCAAGCCACAACTTCTGACTTATGAAAGTGACGACGCCACTGCAAGTAAGTATGATCTACAGCGAGCTATGTCGCCTTGCTTGATATGAATGAACGTGAGCTTTCCCAGTGGTATTTTCTTGCAGGTCATGGTCATGCAGATTAGCATGCGGCAAGGGGGGAAACAAAAGCAACAAAAAACAATCAATGCGATTTAGTAGCCACTACAGAGTTCAAAAGAACTGTGGGGAGATTGAGGGACAAGGTTAGTAACCATTGAATAGTTAGTCAAAGTAAAATTGTAGTCATGTAGTAATAGCACCAAGTAGACTACGTATACGATGGGTTTGTTGACGTTACCAAGACTAGGAGATGCTTAGTCAGGTGATGAATAAACCCCCTCATAAAAAAGAAACATGAATGGGGCACAATGACGCTATTTCGGACACTAGTATGGAACTACAATGCCTGGGATAATGTCGATGATGATATGCCCAAGTACCCCGGCCTTGTTTTTGACTAGTGAGAGATCAAAATGCCTGGATAGGTTCGTTGCAAACAACTCAGTGGCAAATCAACTGTGTTGAGAACCATTAGTATTTTTTTTCTTCTTCCAAATTTTTTTTTTTCCTTTTACCCCTCGCAAAAGTCGGAAGGACCCCGTCCAACAGAATGTGATTGCACCGCCAGCGGATGAACCACCCTTTCATAAATTGAACCGATGCCCGAGACCGCCGATCATGTGAGGTTTGAGCGTTGTACATCCTGGCAAGCAACTCGCCCGGTTCAGGTCTCGCCATTGTTGCTTGACCACCTCAGCATATTTATTCTCCTGTCAGGGACCCTCCGTCTCTTTGCGTCTGCGCGACTGCTTCCCTTCCTTATCATTCCATCATGGCGCCGTTCCGCAACTTCTTGTCCAGGAAGTCCACTGCCCCCAATGGCGGGGAAGTCAGTGCCGCTCCCAACGATAACTCTGCTAGCCATGCCTCACTCGACACTCATGGCTCGAGTCCTTTGAACTTCAGGAAGAGTTCGGAAAACGAACCACCTGAATATAAACTCAGTGGTATGCCACCGGGGACCCTTTCAATGGATCCTTGATTTACCCCGCTAACTCTATCCTCTTCCCGCCAGTCGTCGACGCCAATGGAATCTACCATCCCGTATGTGAACCACTACCGTTACAATCACATGGCGGGTCTTATTCGCATGCGGAACAAGTAACTCACATGTCAATAGCCATCACCTCCAGAGAAACAGGGCTTCTGGCGCAAGTACCCTGGTTCCCCGAGATCCTCGCACCATCGCGATCTCGTAAATGAGAACGAACCCTTCTCGATATCTCGCGAATCATTCGATTCGTATCGCCGATCATTTGTAATGACCCATCCGTACTTGATCTCACTTTCTCGTCGCAAGAGTGACTTACACTGCGCCTCCAGGATATTTCCGCCCGATCACCCGTATGCTATACCGATGCGATGCCATCTCGAACCTCGCTCGACTCTCGAGTCTCCCATATAACATCAACACCATCTACGCTATACTCGAATCTAAGCAAGCAACCGGAAGCCATGGAAGAAGAGCAATACGAAGAGGTTGCGCTCGACGACGAGGAGGTCAAACCGAAGCGGAAGAGCATCTTCTCTCGGTTCGGTGACTTTACAAACGACTCCTCCCAGAACTCCAGTACCTCTAAATCTTCGACTCTTGGATTTCATATCCCGGGACGTAAAAGAGGGCCAAGCAACCCGGGCTCAGAACTAGGTACTTTTAAAGCACCGCCGGTTAATGCGGATTCGGAGGTGCATGATGCGTGATACGAGCGCAGGGGGTGTGTAACTATATTCTGGGTAATTCATAATCTGTAGGCGTCTGGATGGGGATTACCATTGAAGTGTCATTTTTTTCCTTTGCTCTGTTCAATCACCCTCGACAGTTGTGCTTGTTGCTTGTCTGATTCATTTGTGTGGGTTTTGGCTTAAATCTAATCGCATTGCGCGCTGTCGGGGCTTTGCATCGGTGACTTTTTGATGTTTCTTTAGATTCATCGATAGAAATTCCTGCATGCGAAATCTTTCTTTTTATCTGCATCCATAAACATGACTAGATCATCAAAACTATCCAATAAACAATCAATAAACCAATAAAACCAAATCATCTAATTCACAATAATCCAGACCATCACCCGCGGGAACCCCATTAGATAGATAAGTTATACACGGACAACCTTTCTTATCAGCAAATGCAAACAAAACAAACCCAACCAAATCTCGACCGCCCTGTCCCCCGAAAAAAGCAAAAAACGGTTAGGGAAAAAAAAGTCCATTCTCCGGGACAAATTGAGCAAGCTAACCCGCGGGCGGCGTACCATTTTATATATTTTTCTTTCCTATCTCATATCCCCGCCAGAGAAGTTTTTCAGTTTTTCTTCTCAAGGGTATAGCCTTTTTTTGTTCGATTTTTCCAGACATATCCACCATGGTCGGGGTAAAGCGTCGAGTAGACGCCGGTGACGAGCGCAATGGAAAACGGACCAAGACGCCGGTGTCCGTGCCCGCGAAGAAGAGCAAGTCGTCTGCGGCCCCCGTGAAGGCTTCCAAGTCTGTGGTGTCGAAGAAGGGCGATAAGGGTGGAAAGAAGGATAAGAATACTTCTAGTAAGAAGAAGGCGCAGAAGGAGGAGTTTGAGTCTGAGGATGATGATGATAATGAGGATGATTTTGATCTGGATGATGTTGATGATTCGGAGATTGATGCTTTGGATGATGAGGATGACGATGAGGAGGAGGATGTTGATATGGAAGATGTTGAGGAGGAAGAAGATACTGGGAAGAAGTCCAAGTCTGCGGATGCGGATGCTCAGCAAAGTATGCTTGATTGATTGATCGAAATTTCTCTCTGGTGAAAGTTTTGGCACTAATGTGTTGCTTTTTTTTTTTTGTTCATTTAGATAAGTCTACGTCGCGCGAATCGCATGCGAAGCAAAAGGCCCTCCTGCAAGAGCGCAAGGCGGCCAGACCCAACGCTGATATGATCGGTCGCTCGAAGAAGCTGTGGGAGCAGCTGCGTCGCAAGTCTCATGTTCCGCTCGAGGAGCGGAAGAAGCTCATCAAGGAACTTTTTGAAATCATTACTGGTCGTGTGAAGGACTTTGTCTTCAAGCATGACTCGGTCCGCGTCATCCAGACGGCCCTCAAATACGCCAACATGGAGCAACGGAAGATGATCGCCACGGAACTGAAGGGTAGCTACAATGAGCTTGCGCAGAGCCGGTACGCCAAGTTCCTGGTCGGAAAGTTGATTGTTCACGGTGATGCTGAGGTTCGTGATTTGATCGTGCCTGAGTTCTACGGACATGTCAAGAGACTCATCAGACACCCCGAGGGGTCCTGGATTCTCGATGATATCTACCGCACCGTTGCGACGAAGGAACAGAAGGCGAACCTCCTGCGTGAGTGGTACGGTCCGGAATTCGTCATCTTCAGGGATGACAAGAACGGCCCGCCCGATGCGGACCTCTCTAAGATCCTCGAGGCGCACCCCGAGAAGAGGGGCCCCATTATGCACTACCTCTGGGAGCTTGTCAACCAGCTGGTGCAGAAGCGCAACTCTGGTTTCACCATCCTGCACGACGCCATGCTGCAGTACTACCTTAACACTAAGCCGGGCAGCTCCGAGGCTAACGAGTTTGTTGAGCTGCTGAAGGGCGATGAAGAGGGAGACCTGGTCAAGAACTTGGCTTTCACCAAGTCCGGTGCCCGGGTGATGTCGTTGAGTCTGGCTTACTCCAATGCCAAGGACCGCAAGCTCCTTACCCGCTTCTACAGAGATACTATCAAGATGATGGCCGGCGATCTCCACGGACATCTGGTTCTGTTGACCGCGTACGAAGTTATTGATGACACCAAGCTTACATCGAAGCTGGTCTTCCCCGAACTCCTGAACCAGGGAATGGATGCCGAGGCTCGGAACGAAGAGCTGCTCTTCCAGGTGAACGACTTGACAGCGCGTATCCCCATCCTGTATCCGTTTGTCGGCGACCGGGTCAAGTGGCTTCTGCCTGACGGCGACCATGAGTTGCTGAAGGAGGTTCGTGAAATCCGCAAGGAGACCTCCAAGAAGGACCCCGAGCTTCGTCGACAGGAGTTGGTCAAGGCTGCATCGGCCAACGTGCTCGAGCTCATTGCCGCACGTGCCGATTCCCTCCTCGAGACGAGCTTCGGATGCCAAT